TGCGTGATTTGTTGCGGAGGGAGGCGTTGCCGTTGGCGCCGCCGCCGTCGCACTGCGACTGGCGATGCGGGACCTGTCTTTGCATGGGCTGGGCGAGATACTGGATCAGGAGTCCGAGTCCGAGATCGAACCAGACGATCGTCCTAGTGACGCTGTCAAGGTCGGCGTCGCCTTCAAGAGTGGCATGCGCACGCTGGCGGTCAACGGCTGCTACGGCGCCGCCCAGGCCGAGCCGACCACGCTCTTGTTCGAAAGCGGCCGAGCTTCCGATATCCCGCCGCGCCGAGGGGCGCAATGCCACGGTTGGTCTCTGCACTCATCACGGCCAGGCATGCTGGGCGACGCGGCTGACGGACACGTGCTCCCAGTTCCTGCTACTGGCAGGCCATTGGGAATGGGGGCCGTTAGTACCCCTTTTCTGCGTCCATCTGGGAGGAGAAGAAGGTCGCGCGTCAGCAGCCCTGCCCCTCCTACGCGACCAGCCGGATTCCTCGCAGGGCCCCGACGCTGGAACCGCGGCAGCCGCAGCCCAGGGCGCTCAGTCGCCCCCAGCGCAGCTGGCGCCCCCGGTGGTGGCCCAAGGATCCGCCTCGGCGAGGGTCGCCAGCCAGGCCCACAGGACTGAGCACTGTGCGCTTCGAGCCCCCGCCAGTCCCGCTGCCCAGCCAGAGCCCCGAGACGGAGTTCGAGGAAAAGCACGTCGTGGTGAAAGCGTGCAACCGCTGGCCTGAAGGCCCCCAGTGGGTCATCTTCCTCGGGAAGACCAGGGAGGCGATCGAGCCAGACTTCGACTTCAAAGTCTACGGGCTCTTGCCGTCCCCGAAATTCAGGAGCCCGGGGTGCCTGCAGCAGGGCTTCTTGGAAGAGCTCCGCAGCACCCGCACCCCGGCAGCCAGGAGCTCGGCATCCCAGCGACAGCGACCACAATGCCGTGGCAAATTTGGGTGGAGCTCGCACCTTGGCAGGAAGTGACAATCGGAGGGGAAGCCCGCCCCATCACGCAGCGACGGCGGGAGCAGCTCCAAGCCCCGGACAATTAATTGGTCCAGTGGCATCCTGAGGGGACGGTGGCGGACACGCGCCCTGCGTTCTGCTCGGAGCTGGAGGCCGTCAATCAGAACCTGGAGCGCCACTGGAAGCGCGTGGGCCGCAGCAGCTTTCCCAAGCCACCCCGAGGGCGCCCCGACACCGGGGGGGACCTTTCCGCGTCAACCGAGCGCCGCCCGCGCCGCTCGAGCCGATCCCGGAGCCCAGCGAAGGCATCTTCAGAATCTGGGGCCCCAGCGACGAAGACGCCAGGGAGGCCATGCTGGGGATCTCCCTGGCCTGCGCCAGCGGCTCCGACGCGGACGCCATCCAGGGTGCGGCCGCGGGCTTCGACGAGGAGACGCACGTCGCGTTGGGACTGTGCGGACATTGCGCGCAAGTTGCTTGCGTAAGATGCCGCGTGAGTGCCCTCGCTTTCAGTGTAGCGCGCCGCGCTGGCGGCTCGCGCAAGCCACGGCGTAAGGTCACGATGCCATCACGCGTGAGAATTTTTTTTTCGTCGCTCGCCTGGCGACCCGTTCCGGCGCTGCGGAAAAATAGCCGCATCGCGAAAATCGCGACCGGAACCCTAGACATTAAATTTCCGCGGTGCTTCCAGAACCGGATCGATTCGTGATGGTTTCTGGTGCCCGACACTGAGCGAAAGCGCCCGGTGTGAATGAAAATGAATTCGTCATGAATTTTTCAGAACGTCAACCCCCAGGGATCTCGACCCGCTCCCTGGACCAGCTTGTCATCATCCCGAGTCGTTTTTTTCCGGTCCCGAGGCCCGGCGAGGGGCCCCCAGATGGCGAAAACAGCGAGCAAAACCACCGTCGTGCATGCTTTCATGACCCGAGAGGGTCAGGGTCCCGCCCCCGTGCCCGGGCCTCAGGGCTCGGCCCGCGCCGGCGCTCGCGGCCGAGGCGAGCCGCCGCAGCACCCGCGGGTGTAGGCCAGCATCGGGTGGACGGCACGCGCACAGATGCGCGCCAGTCGTTGAAAGCAGACATCTCGGAGTTCCCGGGTCCCAATCTAGAGGCGCCTTCCTGCTTCAAGGCTCGATCTGGCTTGGCTATGCTGTGCTGTCCTCCGGGAGGGCCTGAGCCCAATCTATTTGACCCGCCTTCCTGCTTCATGTCTTCGCCGGCCTCTCCCGTCCGACGTTTACCCTCGCGAGCACGGCCGCGGGAGACGAGGGGGGAGGGGACGAGAAGCCAGGCCCGCAAATGTTGTGCCTCACTACGTTCGGGGAGACGTAAGGCTCGAGTTCGCCATTGCTCGGGTTTGCCGACGTTTTTTTCTGACGGGCCCCAGCCTGGAGTTTGACGGTCCAGCTTCTGTGGGATGTTTGCAGCGGAAGATCGCGTCAAGTTTCAGAATGGGTCTCGTCATTTCTTGACGGCCCCGTCAGGCCAACCCGAGTCCCCCGAACCCGAGTCTTACGACACCCCGACATGTAAACCCATGGTAGATTCGAGTCGTGTCGACCGGCGCCGACCCCAGCGCGGGCGTGCAAGGTTGAACGCCACCCGTGGCCCAGAATCGGCCCATCGTTGAGCGATCCAGCCTTTCTACAACGGCCGATCTTTCAAGTTTGAAAGATCCCCGCGGTGTCAGGGACCAACGTCGAGGACGGCACGACGCGAACCAGCCGTACACGCCCTCAGCATCACGACGTGGCATTGCGACACGGTGCGACGCCGAACTTGCCGACACGACGCGACACATTACGTTCAACCCGCACAGAAGGGATGAGTGACTTTCCAAGGCTACCCCTGCATTCCTCCCCTTCGGCCCATCCTCGGCAACTTTCGCTGGCCGCGCCCCGCTCGAAAAACGTCAACATGGCCTTGCGAGGCCCTTTGCATCCCCAGACATGCGACTTCCTGATTTTTTCAATGCTGGGTCCCTGGAGGTCCTGCCCCCTCTCCCTGGGACCGGTTCTTCATCCCGAATTGTTTTTGGACAGTCCCGAGGCCCGGCCAGGCCCCCCGAGGCCGAGAACGGTCAAAAACGCCCGTCGTCGCGACGCGATTCTTTCACGATGGTTCTTGATGTTTTCACGACGCGATCGTTTCTGGGTCCTTCCCGTGCGTCCCTGTTGCGCGGGTGGACTGGCAGCGGCCTGGGCGGCGCCGCCCTCAGATCGAGCTGCCGCGCCCGCGGGCGCCCAGGGCGCTCGCGCCGGCGTGCGTTCGCTGCAGCCCTGAGATCCTGGCGTTGCAATTTGTTCCATAACGGGCGTTTTTAACCACTCGCGGGGCCCGGGACCCTCACAGGTGGATCCGGCTCGGAAATACTGGCGCAGAAGGATGGGGTAGGGGTCTTTGGGCTTAAGGCGGGCACGTCCCTCTACAGGAGGAGCATTCCAAAATAGTAAAAATATTATGGGGGCGATATTTCTGCCATTTTTGATTGTTTTGAAGATGTTTTGATTATCTTTTTCCCCAATCAGAGCTTGCCTCTGCAGGGGTCCTAGCGGATTCAAGGGTTAGGTGAGGTGCGTCGCCGATTTCGGTGGCCGGGCCCGGGTGCCCGGGTGCCCGGGTGTGGCCAGGTGGCCGATGAGGTGCGTGGCCGATTTCGGTGGCCGGGCCCGGGTGCCCGGGTGCCCGGGGGTGCCCAATAGCCCAGTGGCCCTATAGCCCCATAGCCCTATAGCCGTATAGCCCTAGCCCTATAGCCCCATGGCCCATATAGCTCTATAGCCCCATAGCCCTATAGCCCTATGGCCCTAGAGGTCACAGTCCTATAGCCCTATAGGCCTATAGCCCGATAGCCCTATAGGCCTATAGCCCGATAGCCCTATAGCCCTATAGCCCGATAGCCCTATAGCCCTATAGCCCTATAGCCCGCCCTATAGCCCGATTACAAAGGGAGCAATTGGAAGATTAAACAAATCGGATTGGGTTTTTCTCCGGTATCATATTTTTCGTCCAAAATCGGCTTGTAGGGGGACATGCCCGACCTAACTCTGGGCGTGATTTTCTGCGATGTTGCATTCTTTTTGCAACGGCGGACCTCAGGGCAGGTGGGGTCGGATGATCGCGCCGCACCGCCGATGCGTCGCCGATGCGGCTCGAGGTGCAGCCCGTGTCGCTCCGCGCCGACGTCGCCGATGCATCCATCGCCGACGTCGGCGAGGCATCGCCAGTGCGTCACCGATGCACCTCGAGTAAGAAGAAACGGCATAAGCAGAAACTTTTGGCGCTCCGCGCTGGATTTCTTGGATCTGCGCTGGGCCCCCCCGGCGGCGCCTCGGGCGCCGCCCCTGGCGCGCTCCGCGCGCCAGGGAGGGGGGTCCAGCGCGGATCCCAGAATCCCAGCGCGGAGCGCCAGAAGTTTATGTTTGTGCCGTTTTTCTTCTTCTAGCATCGCCGATGCATCGCCGATGTATCGGCGTTGCGGCGCGATCCTCCGACCCCATCTGCTCCGACACCATCTGTCACCGAGCGCGTTCCGCTGCTCGCAACGTGCCCATACTCGCAAGCGTCCGAAGCAGACTTGTGTACCTCGATGGAATTTATCGTATTCCCCCGCGGCGCTTGTCTAATATAGAGGAGGAGGAGGAGGAGGAGGAGGAGAGGGAGGAGGCGGAGGCGGAGGCGGAGAGGAGGAGGAGGGAGGAGGAGGAGGAGGAGGAGGAGGAGGAGGAGGAGGAGGAGGAGGAGGAGGAGGAGGAGGAGGAGGAGGAGGAGGAGGAGGAGGAGGAGGAGGAGGAGGAGGGAGGAGGGAGGAGGAGAGGAGGAGGAGGGAGGGGGAGAGGAGGGAGGAGGGAGGGAGGAGGGAGGAGGGAGGAGGGAGGAGGGAGGAGGGAGGAAGGAGGAGGGAGGAGGGAGGAGGGAGGAGGGAGGAGGGAGGAGGAGGAGGAGGAGGAGGATTTGTTCCCTTGCGAGCAGTGCAGCGCGCTCGTCTAATCTCTAGGAGGCCTCTGGTGCTCCGCGGGCGGCGCCCAGGCTACCCGCGCGGCGATGCCCAGCGGCTCCGGGCCGCCGCCGCGGGCAATGGTCATGGGCGGCCTCGCCGCCGAGGCGCCCGAGCGCGAGGCGCCCCGCGCGCTTCTGCGGGGCGCGGGCGCGCGGGCAGAGCATCCCCCCAGGCCTCCAACGCATCGAGCAAGACCAAGAATAAGAAAGCGAGGCGTGCCTTGTTTTCGCGGTGTTCTCTTTGCCTGGGGGCCCTCGCCGGGTCCCCGGGCGCGGGCCTCCAACGCATCGAACAGACCACAAAAAAGCGAGGCGTTCTTTGTTATCGTGGTGGTTCCGGTGTCCCCTGAGATCCTGGCGTTGCAATTTGTTCGCAACGGGCGGTTTCGCTCAATTTCGGGCCCCGGCACCCGCACAGATCGATCCGGCTCGAGAAATGACGCAGATAGATGGGGTTTTAGTCTAGGGCTCTGGGCGTGATAGTTTCTGATGTTGCAATTTGTTCCCAGACATGCGACGTCCTGCTTTTCGTCAGGACGGCGTCCCTGGAAGTCCAGATCCTTTCAGATCCTTTCCCCGTGCCCTGTTTTCCATCCCGAGTCGTGTTTTGACGCTCCCGGGAGCCAGCGAAGGCTCCCAGGGGACGAAAGCGGCCAAACATTTCTTGTCATGATTTTTTTTCACGACGCGATCATGTCTGGGTTCGCCACGTCGGATCCCAGGGTGCTTCGTGTTCTCGTGGCGTTCTCTGTGCCTCTAGGGCCCTCGTCGGGCCCCGGGAGCGTCAGAGATCGCGGTGCGGCACGGAGGAGCGGTCCCCGGGAAGCGGGCCCAGAGCTCGGGGGGCCCCGTGCTCAACTAGCTGCCTCGATGCACTTCGGAGTAGTTTTGATGATTTTTGGACCATTTCTTGACTATGTCTCGGAGTATGTTTGGAGTGTCTCTTCTTCTTCGTCCAGCATCCGCCTGTAGGGGGGATATATTCGGCCCCCCGGGGGCCAAACTATATCCATACCTATACGACCGCCCTGCGGGCGACAAGGAGGTTGGGGGGGATTGAGGTCAAATGCCCACCCTGACTGACCTCCGGCCTGTCACCTTGATCTCATCTCTCTCTTTCTCGGCCACCGGGTGGATGGGATAAGATGGATTGGGAAAGATAAGATGGGTTGGATGGGAAGAAATGGATTGAATCAGATAAGATGGATTGGATTGGCCCGCCACAGGCGCAGAAACAAATGAATTGATGGATTGGGTTGGATGGCTTGGATTGGGTGGGATAAGATAAGATGGGGCAAGATGGGTTGGACAAGGTAAGATGGATTGGATTGGACAAGATGGATTGGATAAGATAAGCTGCATTGGATAAGAAAGCCCGCCGCAGGCGCCGACAAAAATGAACTATGAAATTAGCGACATGCTTTAGCGCTGGGACGCCCGGGACACCCGGGACACCCGGGACACCGCCTGGCCCAAATGGGACACCTCCTGGCCACTGGCGGACGGGAAACGGACTTTCGCTCCTACTGACACCCGGGACATCTGGGACACCGCCCGGCCCAACTGGGACACCTCCCAGCCACTGGCGGACGGGAACGGACTTTCTCTCCTACTTCGGCCTAGCTACAGAAGGATCACGCGCAGCTTCGCCTCGCCCGCACGCACGACACAAACACGAAACCGAAACCGATTTCCCGGTGGGGGGTCTCCGTTTCACTGTGGGGGGTCTCTTTTTCACTGCGATCTCACCCCCCAACCTCCGATTCACCGCCCGCTGGGGCACCAGGACGTCGGTTCCCAGGCGGTGGATATGGATATATCCCCGCCTCGCACCACCATCGCATCGGCGTCACCCCAACATACTTACACTATTATGTGCGTCGCCCCCCAGGGGCGACGCGCGCACCGAGAAATCTTCTAGTAGATTCGTCGTGGCTGGCGCTTTCTGGCCACACGGCTCGGGAAACGATACACTACACGATGGGTATATTACATGTTCGGGTCGGAGGCGCGCCTCCAAGGAGGACATCTAGTACTACTATGTCTCTGTGCGTCCCATCGCAGAGTGGATTTCGGTCCAAAACGATAGGATGGGCCCGGGGTGTCCTGGAGAATTTCGTTCCGGATTTCCATGTGAATTGCGTGCGGAGTTTCTGTTGGCCAGGAATGAAGACTAAAACAAAACCACGCGAAGCTCACTCCGTTTTTCGCTCGCCGCTTCGGGGTTTACACATCTACGCAACAATCCGCTGCAGCACGTCTGCAAGGTCGGTGCGGTGAGTTCTGAGACGCAGGACGTAGGTACCGTGCTCTGTAAACGTTCGTGTCAGTACGCTGCGTAATGGCTCAGCGTATTGGCCCACGCTCCAGCGAGCGTGTCGCGCCAGACCTGCGTGTTCAGTCTACGTGTTGGGCTCCGCATCAGTGCGCTACGTGCTGCGTGCTGCGCATCGGGCGCGCCAAAACGAGGGTGGAACTGCATGCGAACTTTGCCACTGGGGACTTCGGTGGAGCGCCCTATGGGGCCACGAACCGTGTGAGGGGTGTGCCGAAATTGGGTGGACCTGCATGCGAATTTTGCCACTGAGGCCTGCAGTAGAGTTCCATATGGGGCCACGAGCCGTGTGAGGGGTGCGCCGAAATGGGGTAGAACTGCATGCGAACTTTGCCGCTGGGGCCTTCGGTGCAGCTCCCTATGGGGCCACGAACCGTGTGAGGGGTGCGCCGAAATGGGGGTGGACCTGCATGCGAATTTTGCCACTGGGGCCGTCGGTGGAGCTCCCTATGGGGACACGAACCGTGTGTGGGGGGCGCCTAAATGGGGGTGGAACTGCATGCGAATTTTGCCATGGAGCTCCTTATGGGACCACGAACCGTGTGAGGGGTGGGCCAAAATGTGAGGTGGTGAGAGGAGGAGGAGGAGGACGAGGAGGAGGAGGAGGAGGAGGAGGAGGAGGAGGAGGAGGAGGAGGAGGAGGAGGGCGGGAAGGAGGAACGCGGGGACCGTCTCTTCAAAACGAGGACCCAACACCACAGGATGGTTCGGAAAAATAGTCTGGGTAGGATGTTTGAGCATTATTTGGCCATTTCGGGGATGTTATTCGTATGTTTAATCTTTCGTCCAAAATCCCCTTGCAGGAGGACAGGCCCGACTTAAAGCCAGTTCTGGCCCGCGACGCCTCGGCGCGACACGCTGACCACGTCCCTGTCCCCCCGGCGTCCACCTCCTGAGCCGTTTCGATCCTCCCGCGCCGCGGAGCGGAGCGACACGCTCATGATCCGCATGCACGGCACGACGTGTCGCCGTGACCGCCGCCCCGACGCGCCAGGCAAAAAGTTCCTCACCGCGACACCCCCTCGTTCGGATGCAACTCCTGGGAGGTCAAATTCTGATTTTGCCTTGGTCCAAAGTCTGGCTTAATCCCGCTTTATCCTGCCTAGTCCGAGGCCCACTCTGGCGTAACAGCTCCCAAGTAGGGCTCAATCCTCCTTAATCTTTCCGACGAAAACCTCACAGTAGTTGCCTCCTAGCATTCGTCGCACCACGCACGCACCACCGCAGCTTAGGATCGCGAAGCTTGTTATATTTCCAGCGGCTACACGGATGGAGGGCAGGTCGTTTTCGGAGCGTGGCTCCCGCCCGAGGGCCGCGCACACTTTAGCGCGTCGAGTTCCCGGCAACTGCAGGCATTGGAAGGCGCAGGTTGTTCAACATGTGGTTCCAGCCTGGGCGCCGTGTACATTCGCTGCACAAGCCGTCAACAGTCACTAGCATGGAGGGCAAAGGGTCTGCGATGTGGCTCAAATGCGGCGAGTCATTTTCCAAGTATGGCTCTCGTCGTAGCGCTGCGCACATCCGTCTTAGATTCTTGAAGCACTTACAGTGCTGAAGAGGAAAGGATGTTCAATATGCGGCTCTCGCCGTAGCGCCGCGCACATTCGCCTTCAACATGTCCAACATGTTAAACATGTCCACTTGGCTCGTTTTCCAAACGGGGCTCTGGCTTGATACTTGTGGCCAGACGTGTAACATCGTGTCCATTCTGCAAGGATGGAGGGCAGCCCCTTTTCACAACGGGCCTCTCGTTGGACTCTTCCTTGAACTTTCTGACCCTACTTCTTCGCACCCGGTCTAGCAGAATGCTGTAGGCCAGTATTTGTTTCACGTGGCTCTCGCCGGAATGGAAGGCCCGCGCGGCGCTCGTCGTTCAAGGGGGTGCGCCTCCCGCAGCGGAAGGGAATACTTGTAGGACTGTGGCGCATCTTGGACGCATCCTGGCGCACGGATTGTAGCATCGTCGCCGCATCCTGGGCTTGCAGTGGTCCTCGTTTTTCTTCCTCGTCTCCACTTCCGTGGGCGACGACGGCGACGTCTTCGCTTCGGCGGTTGAGAATCCTCGTCGCCGCGGCTGGGTGCGCTTGGAGATCTTGGACAGAGCGCACCTCAGGACAGGTCTCGGGGTATATTTTTGATCCGCAGACCCAGACCAGATCCGTCGTCGTCGTTGTCGTCGTCATTGTTGCCGTCTCCGTCCTCGTCACCCCTCTGTGCGTGTGGCCAGACACCCAGGCATCCGATGCCGTTTTTGTTTCGCCGCGTGCTTCCCCGGAGGTTTGGCCTCAACACGGGCTTTTCATCTAGGGCCCTCCGCCTCCTTCTCCTCTTCCTCCTCCTCCTCCTCCGCCTCCTCCTCCTCCTCCTCCTCCGCCTCCTCATCCTCCCTTTCCTCCTCCTCCTCCTCCTCCTCCTCCTCCTCCTCCTCCTCCTCCTCCTCATCCGGAGGTTTTTGTTGGTGGCCCTAGGGCTGGCGAGGGCCCCCAGAGAAGGGACTTTGGGTACCTCCTCCCACCTCCTCCCTCATTCCTGCTCTCCTCCCCTCCTCCCTCTTTTCCCCTCTTCCTTCCGCCTTCTCTCCTCTTCCTCCTCCTCCTCCTCCTCCTCCTCCTCCGCCTCCTCATCCTCCCTTTCCTCCTCCTCCTCCTCCTCCTCCTTCTCCTCCTCCTCCTCCTCCTCCTCCTCCTCCTCCTCCTCCTCCTCATCCTCATCCTCAACCGGAGGGTTTTGCTGGTGGCCCTAGGGCCGGCGAGGGCCCCCAGAGGCCGAAAAGGGCCAGACGCCTCCCGCCGCGATTTCCTCCAGCACCACGAAAGGAGGTCTGGGAACCCCCCCCCTGGCGCCTCACCAGACCTGTTTTGGGGGGCGCTCCGAGGCGAATTCCGCGGCGGATCCGGCCGCGGCGACGAGGGCGCCCCCGGAGGCCCAAGAAGTCATCTCCAACACTTTCGGGAGCCTCGATCCCAGATCATCGATCGGCCCCCGGCGCCCGCAGCACTGCCCCACGCACCTGACCTTCCAGAGCGAGACGACGTTGGCGCGCAGCGAGATGGGAGACTACCGGCGGACGCACGACGTGAGCGGCCTGCCCGCCTACCTGCAGAGGAGCTGGCGGCGCCTTGCTGCGCCCTGCTGGGCGAGGGGGAGGAGGAGGAAAGGGAGGAGGAGGAAGAGGAGTAGGAGGAGGAGGCGGAGGAGGAGGAGGAGGAGGAGGGAGAATCTGGGATTTCGGTACATTTCTTGGGGATTCCGTACTTTTTCTATAGGTTCCGTGATTCGGAACATCGCCCGCATGATGGCTGTCTCTCCACACCCCGGCATACTCGTCCGAGTGGCGCGCGGACCTGCAAAGCGAGGGCGCAAGCGAATAAGCGCTGGCTATGGGGACTGGGCGCGAAGCGGCCGAAGTTCAGAAGCAACGGAGGATCGCGCCAAGTGCCACCACGTGCAAGGCTTGAAGGGCCAAGGTGCATGGCGCGAAGCGCCAATGCAGTCTTGTATATACATATATATATATATATACACACATACACGTATCGATGGATTGCGCAGCCTTTGAGGGTGGTTGGTCCTCGGTGGGCAATGGCAAAAAAGCGCCGTTGTGGGCGGGGGAGACTTCACAATCCACCTGAACGGCACACCAAGCCACTCCCAGGGAGGAGGAGGAGGAGGAGGAGGAGGAGGAGGAGGAGGAGGAGGAGGAGGGCGAGGAGCAGCAGGAGTAGGGAGGAAGAGGATGAGGAACACGAGGTGGGAGGTTTTCCCGCGACCACTGCCAGGGCGAGTAATTCGCGGCCTGCGGCCTTCCAATCAAGTAGTTCTGCCCCGCACAGCTGCTCCTGGCGGCTCCAGGGGGAAGACCTGGCTCCATCTGGCTTGCAGTGACGGGGGGAGACTTCGCTGGAATGCCCATCGACCCCAGAAACCCAGACCCCCGACGCTGTGCAAATCGACCCCGAAAGGTCTGGACCCCTTCCCTGGGATCGGTTTTTCGTCACCAATCGTTTGTTGTCGGTCCCGAGGCCCAGAAAGGGCCCTTGGAGGCCGAGCATGGCGAACATTTTTCCGTCGTGTTTTTTTCGCAACGCGAGGGGGTCTGCGAAAGTAAGGTCCTTTTTGGGAGAAGGGGGCCATCTCTCTTTTGGTAGGTGGATCTCTCAAGCTCTCCGCCGCCTCTGGCGGTGTGCGTTTCGTGGCTTCGCTGTGTTCCTGCTCGCAACGCACACCGCCAGAGGCGGCGGAGAGCTTGAGAGATCCACCTACCCAACAAAAAAAGGTAGCCTCCGATTCTGCCAAGGGCGCCTGCCCACCAGGAGTCGGTCTTCCGCCGGCGTGGGGCAACCCGTGGGGGGGGCTCACTCGCTCGCGCGCGTGCTCGGGGAAAGAGCCGTTTTTTGTTCCGACGAAGTTGTGTCGAGCGATTCTCGACGACTTGTGCCGCTTCGGCCCCCAGAGGAGCCTGGTCGACTCGAGGTGCCCGCTTCCGGCGCCCGTGTGCGGAGAGCCCTCCGTGGCAAAACCTGCGCGAGAGAGAACGCGCCGGCCCGCGCGTCACTGTGCGCTCTCCTCCTTCAGCGCACGGCACACGCGGCCAGGACCCGCAAGGCCCACTCCAACTCGTGCCGATCTCCCGGGCGGGGAGGAGCGGGGCACGCCGATGCCGAGGGCCAGGCGACTGGGCGGGAGGAGGGAGGAGGGATGGCCAAGGGGCGGGGAGGAGGAGGAGGAGGAGGAGGAGGAGGAGGAGGAGGAGGAGGAGGAGGAGGAGGAGGAGGGAGGAGGAGGAGGGAGGAGGAGGGAGGAGGAGGGAGGAGGAGGAGGAGGAGGAGGAGGAGGAGGAGGAGGAGGAGGAGGAGGAGGAGGGGGAGGGGGAGGGGGAGGGGGAGGGGGAGGATCGGCGGCGAGCCTGGGGGGGAAGCGAGAAGGGGCGGGCCTGCTCACAAGGCTCGGCAGGCCTCGGGCCTTCTGGGAAGTTGTGTGCTGCGTCGACGCCCCGCCGCCTTCTGAGAAGGCCTGCTCTTTCTCACTTCTTCCCCCGGGCGCGCCGCCGAGAAGAGGAGCGAGATGTTTGGACACCCCAGGGACGTCTGGGCCAGGGTCCTTTGGCGCTCTTTGGGGGGCTTCCAGCGCTTAAGAGTATCCTGGGCGAGTGGTGCGTATGTCTAGTCTCTGCGTGTCGCGTTGGTGCTCTCTGTGTCCACCGAATATACGCTCCGATGGGCTGTCATGCCCCACTGGAATCAAATTAAAAGGCGAAGGACAACGAGCCGTATGCTGATTCGGGAATCAAGTGGCGTCCCTATTGAGCATAACTTGGATTATTCGGCTAATCGAGCCATGTTGACCTTTCTACGCCCGCCAACATGTGTGTCTACGTAGGCATGTGCACATCATGAACTGTCTCTGCGAGAGGCCCGACGCAATTGATCGCAAGGCAATGCACTGCAACGCGCAGCAGCTCCAGGCATCGCAGAGCAGCACTACGCAGTGCGTACGACGGCAGGGGTCGGCTCCAACAGGCGGCCGGGGCCAGCACCGTTACCAAGACTTCTTGTTCGCGTCAACATGCCGCGGCTCGGCCTCGCGCGCGGTCCGCGTCCGTGGACTTGGTGAAACAAAACCTGTTTCGCGCCCACCCTGCAACGCAACTTTCAAAGCAATGAACTGCACCGATATTGTAGCAGCGTGTAGACGCACATGTGCGAAACTCCATTTTCGCGGATCCATGCGACCCATGGCCCTGAAGATATTCGCAATATGGAGAGCTTCCTAACAGGCTCGTAAGTGCCTCTAAAGACCGTCCCCAGAGGCTCTAGAACACAGGAGCCACCAGGACACGGGTAGCCCCACTGGGGTGCACCGAACGCCCGAACGGCACACCGAAAGCCCCCGCGGGGCACGGAACGACCTGATGTTTGTATATATCCCCCTTGGGGGCTTCCGTGACGCCTCCAGGCGTGGGGTCGCAGAGGGCGTGGGCTTCCAAACGTCGGGGGGGCAGGGTGGAAGAGGAGACAGACAAGTGCCAATGTTTGCAAGTCCGCGCGGATCTCTTGGAGCTGCGATGCACCCCAATGTCGGCACCTCCCTCCTCCCTCCTCCCTTGTCCCTCCTCCCTCCTCCCTCCTCCCGCGCGCGCGCCACTGTGCCGCGTTGTGCGCGGGCACAAATTTCGCGCCCGCGCCTCGCCCGCGCGCAGGCGGCCGAGCTGCGCGCGCGGGCCGCCTCCCGCTTCCTTGCGCCTCGCGGCGTGCAGCCCCACGCGAACGGCTCGCGCGCGCGAGGGCGGCGTCGGCATGCGTTGCGCCGCGCGTGGGCCCCACGTGAAGGGCCCGCGCGCACGGTGTGCCGGCTTTGCTCGCTTCTCGCATTGCGTTTTGTGCTGCGCTGCGCGCAGCCCCACGAGAAGGGCCCGCGCGCTCACGGCGTGTTTACTATGATTTCTTCTCGCATTGTGTTACTCGCTCCATGTAGGCGCGCCGCGGGGATCCCGTCGGTGCGGATCGCGGCGCGCCTCGGGTTTGCGCGGTTTGCAAGCCTTGTCGCTTGCATTCCGCTTGCGACGGCGCTCGCGTCCTGCCGTCACTTGCGGCGCGCGCGGTTTCGCCCCGCCCTCCCGCTCCTGGGGGTGCTTGCATCCCTGGCGCCCCGCGCGTCGGCTCTGTCTGGCACCGCCAGGCTGGACGGCGCGGGGGTGCCGCACCCCTTGTCAAGTGGGTGCAGGCACCTTCGGGTGCGGGAGGGTGCAGGCGCAGCTGGAATCTGTGCTGCGATGCACCCCAATGTCGGCACCTCCCTCCTCCCTCCTCCCTTGTCCCTCCTCCCTCCTCGCTCCTCCGCCCTCACTCCCCCCCCCCCCCTCGCGCGCTCCGCGCGCCAGGGGAGGCGGGTTAGTTCAGCGCCGCTCGGAGGCTTCCGCGCGGACCGCCGCCGTTGCGATGTCTATCGTGCCACCAGGGTTTGTAGGTGAAGGGGGAGGAGGTGGGAGGAGGAGGAGGAGGAGGAGGAGGAGGAGGAGGAGGAGGAGGAGGAGGAGGAGGAGGAGGAGGAGGAGGAGGAGGAGGAGGAGGAGTTCTCGCCACGATGGCGCCCGTGCCCGCTCGTGGGCGCCTCGTGGGCGCCCCGCGCGCTGGCCGGAGGGTTCGCCGCGCTGGCGCCCGTGCCCGCTCGTGGGCGCTTCGTGGGCGCCTTGTGCGTGGGCTACATCGGTTTCCCCAGGATTCGCCGCGTTGGCGGCCGCTCCCGCTCGTGAGCGCCTCGCGGGTGCCCCGTGCGTTGGGCGGGTGCCCCTAGATTTCGCCGCGGTGGCGCCCGTGCCCGCTCGTGGGCGCCCCGTGGGCGCCCCGTGCGCTTGCACCACATAGCGCGCAACACACAGCTCACACAGCACAGCTTGCACCACACAGCTTGCACCATACAGCCTGCAGCGCGTAACTCACACCATAAAGCTCGAACCAGATAACATGCACAACACAGCCAATATCGCCGAAGCTACATCGCCTTGCTGCCATCACACACCTCACACCGCATTGCTTACACAACCTGGCCGACACCACAGAATATGGTAAATCACTTAGTTTGGCCTCGTCGGGCCTTCCTGGAGATCCTTTTGGAGGCCTCTCGGGCCGTCTTGGAGTCCTCTTGGGGCCGTATTGGGCGATCTCGGGGCCCCGCCTGCCTTGGATTCTTACGAGTCCTCGCGGCGGCGAGTTTTTGTTGGGCTGTTCCTCGCCTTGCGCGTCCTTTTGCGCCTTTCCCGCTGTCTGGCGGGTTGGGCCGAAGGCCCTTTGGAAAACCTTGCAAATCAAGTCTACCGAACCTTCGGCCCGCCATCGATCGGCATCACGGTCGATTCTTTCCAGGTTGCAGTATCGGCGCATCTGTCGATATCACGATTTGCCCATTGGCCCGTCTCCCTGCTCATTGGTGGCACTATCTATCTGTCGATCGCACTCCCAGCTAATCTACCAATCTCACTCATCCATCCCTCAACCCTAGGACAACCGCGGTGAGGCACCGACTGTGGGACATCCGCTGCGGACCAACCACGGGACAACCGCAGCAAAAGACGTGGGATAACCTCTGGAACCACGGGGGCATCATGGACAACCATGGGAAGGCCACGTGAAAACCACGGGACAGCCACAAGACACCTACAGGCCAATCACCAGATAACCACCAGGCAACCACGTAACAACCACGGGGCAACCCTAAAACAACAGCAAAACACACAACAGGACAACCACGGGACAATTAGGGAACAGCCGCGGGACAACCGCGGGAGCATTTGGTTGCGGAGGGGCGCAACACATGAGGTTCCCAGCCTTAACTAGGCTAGGATCCACCGCGCCTTTGCCCAGCTTCGCTTCGATCGCACGTCACACACGACCCGAAGAGAAACCGAAGCCGATTTCCCAGTTGGGCGTCCGCCTCTTCCCCAACCTCCGTTATAAACACATGAACTATATATACACGCATAAAGGTATACGTTTACATATACATGTACACATGTTGATATAGCTTAGAATACACAGGGAATCTCAAAATCAAAAATCAGACTAACACTGATCGCTCTTATCTGCTCGAGTGCCTTTTCAACACGTATATCCCAAGCCCCGATACCCACCCTGTTCGTCATCGTTCGTATCCCCTTTGCGGTAGATCTTTCTTACCTGCAACGTGTACTGCGTGCAGCACCTAAGGCATGGGAAGAGAGGGCGGATGGAAGAAAGGGACAAGGGGGAGAGAGGAGGATGAAACACGAGAGAAAATAGCAGGAGACGAGCTAGGAACAGAACACACATGGCAGAACCAGATGGGCAGATCGGGCGGGTAGACCCTAACAGGCGGGCCCAGGCGGCCAGGTCGAGCAGGCGGGTTGCTGAGGCGTGCGTCCTGCATACATTGCGAGGAAGCCTTGAGCGACAGCGCGATTCCATAAACAGAGCGATAGCGTGATTCCTGAGTGTCGAGGGCGCGGCGCCTGAATCAATTGCGAGGAAGTCCCAAGCGACAGCGCGATTCCTGACTGTCGAAAACGCGACGCCATAATAAATTGCGAGGAAGCATCCAGCGAGAGCGGGATTCTTAGATTAATTGCAAGAAGTCTCGACCGAGAGCGCGATTCTTCAATCAATTGCAAGGAAATATCAGGAGTGAGCCGCTGTCGTTGTAAACCAGGGGCCAGGGGCACAGTTTGAACGGGAAGACCTTCTTGTGTAAAGACACAGCGGGCCCCGGGAGGGGGACTTCAATTGAAAATGCATATGTTACGCGAGTGCGTGAGTCTTGCATAATTCGCCCGGGAATTTCGGGCGAGAGCGCGATTCTCTGGTAAATTTATGAGGAAGTCCCAGGCGAGAGCGCGGGCATGGCGCCTGAATAAATTGCTTGCGAGGAAGTCAAAGGCGAGAGCGCGATTCTTCGATTAATTGTAAGGAAGTCCCGAGCGAGAGCGCGATTCTTCAATACATCGAAGGAAGTATGTAAACGGTTCCGGACGCTCTCGCCTCGATCGACGCCGGCTACATGTTCTCTGAAAACGAGGATCACGCTCGAGCGTTGGCTTGACCCTAAAAGTGCGCCCCTTGGAGGCCCAGCTACGACAACAACGGCTCCCGCTCGACACTTCCCCACAATTTACTTCGAGACACCCTGGCCAGAGAGGCTTTCGAACTCAGGACGGGGGCTCTCGTTCGAGACTTCCTCGCAATTCAATCAAGTGGGCGGGGGCCCAGCCACGACGACAAAGGCTCCTGCTCGATATTGCCGAGAGCTGTGGACATCCTTGCAACTCAGTCAAATTAGTGGGGACGCAGCCGCGATGACAAGGGCTCCCGCTCGATGCTTCCTCGCGATTTGCTCCGAGAGGCCCTCTCGCGTGGTCCATCCTTCTCTTCCCCCGTCCGTTCTCCCTTCCCCTCTTTTGGGGGTTGCGCTAAATGTGCGCGGCAGGTAAGGAAGATATGCCCCGGGAGGGTACGGTCGAAGACAAAGAGGGCTGGTATCAAGAGTTTGGGATATACGTGTTGCGTGGCACGCGATCAAACAAGAACAAACTGTCTTAAAATGATTGTTGTTGTTGCTGTTGCTGTAAACCAGGGGCCAGGGGCACAGTTTGAGGAGGAAGACTTTCCTTGTGAAAACAGGGTGCGAGCCCCAGGAGGGGCACCTCAATCGAAGAAACACGTGTCTAAAACATCACGCACCAAAGGTCACTCTTACCCAGGGTCGCTCTTGCGTAGAGCCGACTGAGTATGACGATAGTTGAGGATCGAAGAGACGGCACAGTGGGGGCGCGCATCAAGAAGCCATCTGCTTTTCGTCAGGGTCTCCTGGGTCTCTTCGCTCCCCGCGCTGCGCGGTGGCTTCCCGCAGCCGTTGAAAGAGCTGCTGCGTTCAGGGTGCTCCGGGTTTCCCCTCAGGTGCACCTCGCGCACGTGTGTTCAGGGTTGGGTTTCTTGCGAAGGTTTCTTGTGGCCGCGCCTGCATTGTATTGGCGCATATTTTCGAAAGGCCCGCGCAGCCCTCCGAGAGTATGATATTTGTGCCGTCTTCAGCTATCCCAGGCAAAGTCCGCTTTGTTTTCGGGAGGGGCTCGGTGTTTCCTTGGTTCTTTCACGGGTGTTGTCTTGGCGCTCTCCGAGGAAATGGGCACAACTGAGGCCCTAAAAGGGTTCCGCTCCCAAGCCAACGTTCTTCACGGCAAAACGTTGATTGTGTCCCTAGGGCCCGGTTTGCCAGCACCCCCCGTCTTCCCGGAGGACGCCGTTTGGCTCCGCCAACGCCTCGTTCGTGTACTTCTACTCGGAGACCATCCAGCGACCAATTGCTTGTTCCTCATCCTCTCCCCAGGGCGCTCCTCGAGGAATTGCTTTCGAGGAAATCGAAATTATGATCTCTCGCCTTCGGAGGAAGTCAGCGGATGGCCCGCAGAAGCCGCTTGAGGTGAAACGAGGGCATCTCCGCAAGCGGAAACCGGCGGAAGTTCGGCGGAAGCCAGCAGAAGGAAGACACGTTTCCAAACACATGTGGTTTGTTGAGCTTAGGATTTGCAGAAAATCGTAGTCTGACGTTCCACAGTCGAGCTCTTTGGCACGTCATCAATATTTGGACCGATTTTGCGTCTTCAAGACGTGGGATAACGTGAAGCTCGTACCTTGGCTCAAGGCCTCCAGAATTGAGGCTCGGCTTCGCTCTGTAGGGCGTGCCCAGCAGCCTCTAGGGCAGGATGGGAAGCTGCGTCGAGGCCTTCATTCCGCACGGCAATCGTGTGGACGATGTGGACAATGAGGACGCTGGCGAGAATGGCTCCTTGACCACAGCTAAAGACAGCGAGACGCTAGCTCATGTAGGATACCGCTAAGACGTGGATGGACTGCGAGCCGTCGCTGTGTTGAGCGTCATCGCCTACCACATGAACACAGGATGGTTGCCAGGAGGCCGCACTGGAGTCGACATGTTTTGTCATTTCTGACTATGTTGTTTCCGCGTCTCTGCTCAGTCACTCGTGCGGCAGCCGCTTGGAGTTCTTCTGTGGATTCTACGCCCGCAGGGTCAAGAGGCTGACCCCAGCGCTGCTAATTTCCATGGCGTCCTGTGGACTCTACGTCGCTATCATGGTACTGTCCATGACTCCTCACCTAGAAGATCACTCCGCAGCCGCCGCCAGTGCGCTCTGCGGCGCTTCCAATGTGTTCTTCGCGTGGCTCTGGCAGTCGACTGGCGACGGCTACTGGGACGAGATGACGGGGCAGAGCAGGAACGCCGCCAATCCATTCGTACACACCTGGTCTCTTGGCGTAGAGGAGCACTTCTACCTCGCGTTGCCCCTTCTCGTCTTGCTCGCGCACGGCTGCCGAGTTGTTGCCTCGGCTGGCTGCCGTCCGCTATGGCCAGCGTCCCTCATCATCTTTGGGGCGTTCGCTGCGCTGTCCGGGTGCGCATCGCCGTTGATGACCATGCACGCGCCAGACATGGCCTTCTATCTGCTGCCCGCGCGCTTCTGGGAACTGGCTGTCGGTGCCATCCTCGCCGACTCTCACGCTGCTGGGAGGCTGGACATGACAGCGGACGGGAGAAGCGCAGCAGCGGTGGGGGCTCAGGACCTGGTGGCCACACTGCTAATACCCTCGAGCCTTGTGCTTGACACGGTCAGCGTGGGCTTCCCTTTCCTGGCGCGCTGCTTCCTGTGGCGGGAGCCGCCTGCGTCATCGTGGCAGGGCAGTTCGAGTCGAGCGCCCTGAGACGCGTCCTGGGGCAGCAGCTGCCAGTGCACCTCGGAAAGCTGTCCTATCCTCTCTGCCTGTGGCACTGGCCTGCGCTTAAACTCGGACGGGTCTGTGGTGGACGATCTGTCCGTCGCCTGGGGGTACCTCCTGCTGCTCACAGTCATGCTCGCGCTAGGCTCTGCGACGTACCACGCGGCGGAGGGACCTTTCCGGTTTTGGCGGCCCCATGCCCATTGGCTCGTGTTCGCCGTGCTGCTGCCCGCCGCTGTCGTCTGGGCGGGCTGCACGCTCGCACTTCGCGGCCCGCTGCTCGGCAAGCCGAGCGCGTCGGCAGGAAGCTCTCAGAGATCCCCTCTGCAGCCGTGACCTCCACCTCGGGCAGCCCAGGGGAACGCGTTGACCTCGAGCAGCTCGCCCCCGCGAGCCATGACCTGGCCTCGACAGGTTGCGCGTGCGGCAGGGTACCCGAGTTCACGCATGCGCCAGCGACTGCTAACGATGGCAGGCATGGCCAGCCATCTTGCTTGGACATGAGCGGTGTCTCTGAGCTGAACAAGAGCTGCTGGGCCATCTATCATTACTGCAGCGGTGGTGAATGGTGCGACGGTGAGTGAGAGCTTCAAGAGAAAAGTTGCACGCAGGAAAAGCGCAGTGACGAAGCACTGATCGAACTCTTCGACAGGCAGAAGCGGCAGTGTTTATCGCCAGCGACAGGAGCACAGAGGAAGCCCACGATCTTCTTGTTGGGTGACTCGCACGCGCTCTTCTTCAAGCATGCTCTAAGGCAGGTAGTGAGCGACATATTCGATGTGCGTTCGTGGGCGAGCGTCCACTTCATCGATGGCTTCTGGGGATTCAATCTAAATTCCCAGAGAGGATATCCAAGCGAAAGGTATCATACCGCGCTTCGGGAGCTGATTGCAGACGATCTGGTGCCTGGCGACATCGTGGCCATCGGCCTATTCATAGATGGGCCTTTCGGCTCACAAGTTGACAGCGTCACGTCTTTCCTGAACGAGTGGATAACAATTGCCGACCATGAAGGTGCCAGAGTCCTCATGCTTGGGGGTCATCACTTGCACAGAAATGCGCTGTCATTGCTTCCATAACAAGCAGGACGTGATGAACTCGGCGATCAATTTGAGGTTTCGGGGGTTGCAAAGGACTTCCAGCTTGCTGCTATTTGAGTACAGGGACCTCTTTTGTCACAGGGGACATCTGCATGCCCTTCATTCCTGGCAGCAACGTCATGGCGTACAAGGATTCCCATCACCTGACGCCAGCTGGCTCCCGTTACGCGGCGCCCTTCCTCTGCGAGCTCTTGAATAAGCATGGGTTCCTTCAGAACGGCAGCGGCATGCAGTATATGCATACCAGACAGGGCGGAAGCAGCTCTAAGAATGCCGTCCTGCGTCTCGCTTGCTTCACTCCCAACTTTCCTCTTCCTCGCCCGCCTCCCCTCTCCCGCAAACTGCGCAGTTACCTTTCGCACCTCGCTGGAAACGAAGGCTGCAGCGACGGCACCCGAGGCACTGTGCAACTGTCCATTTTTCTTTGCGTGCGGGCACGCGTGTGATCAGCAGAGTTCCATGTGTTTGCCAATGTGCCGTCAGGGCGCGGCTTCGTTCGTTCGTACCACGGCCCAGGGCGGTGCCGCAAGGCCGAGAAGCTTCGGCGGTGGTCAACCTCGTTCGGATGGGGATTCCCGTCAAAGGAGACGTCCCGTGGCCGCTGCAGGCGCCGCACAGAAATTACTGTCGACCCACGCAGTAAGCACGGGCAACCTTCCCAAGGGCACCCTCGCATCCTTGCCTCCTCGGCCCGTCCTTCCTTGGCCACCTTCGTTGGCCGCGCCCCGCTGGAAGAGCGTCGAAATGGCCTTCCAAGGCCCTTGCATCCTTCTCGTGTGTTCTTCCGATACGGGCCGACTGTAGGGATTGTCTTGTCGGGAGCTCTCAGCAAAGACAAGCTGGGATCAGATGGCTGCCATCCGCGCCTCGCGAGTCGCGGTTCTGCCTGAGCGGCAGCTGCCGCCCGCCCAGCCTGGGCGCTCGCCAACATGGCGTGGAGGGTGGAACAGTCTGCGACGCTGGGCCGCGGGAAGGAAGCCTTTGGCTTCGACGTCTCTCCGGTGTCTGAGCTGGCGGGAGCGGAGGGCGCGAGGCTGTTTTTTTTTGCGGTCCCTCGGGGCCCTGTCGCGGCCCCATGCAAGCTCCACTCGAAGAAGAAAAAAAACGTCATGAACACAAACTGTTGGCGCTCCGCGCGGACCTCTTGGATCTGCGCTGGGCCCCTCCTGGCGGCTCCTGCGGCGCCGCCCCTGGCGCGCACCGCGCGCCAGGGAGGGGGGGTCCAGCGCAGATCCGAGGAATCCGCTGGGAGCGCCAACAGCTTGTGTTTCTGATTGTTGTTCTTCTATCCCTTTCCTCCCTCCCACCCTGCATCTCTTTGCCCGCCGCTGAGCGGGTGGGCGGCTGGCCAGAGGCTGAGACCTTGCTTGTCGCCACGCAGGATAAAATGTGCCCCCCCTCCTCCTCCCTCGTGATCCTGCGAGGTTCTCGGGGATCTATGCTTATGCTTTCCCTCCCCCCTCTACCCATCAGCCGGATCACAGGAACAAACAGAGCCACGCCGTCGGCACGGGCAGCCACGCTGGATCGAGGCAGGGAGGGCCGAACGACCCGATCCAAGCAGGCGGAGCCCCGAAGGTTTTGGGCACGGGGGCAGCCGAGCGAAACCCTCGCGTCGAGCAGGGTTTGAGAGTCCAGGGTTCTCCTCCTCCTCCTCCTCCTCCTCCTCCTCCTCCTCCTCCTCTATCTCCTCCTCTCCTTCCCCCTCCCCCGCCTCCTCCTCCTCTTCCTCCTCCATTCCTTCTCCTCATAGATAACTCCTCCCTGTCATTTTTTTTGGGCGGGCCGGGCGTTTCGCCTAAGACTTCCTCACCATTTATGATTTGAAGTTTATAACCTAACAGCTTTTGCTGATAGGTTTCTAGTGGTCTCGAAAGAGAGCATCTTGACGCCCCAGGGGGGTCTGGGCGGGATCCGGACAGATCCGGACAGCCCCAGGAATCCTTAGGAATCATTCGGAATTCTTAGGAATCCTTAGGAATCCACTCCAAGAAACCATTCCCAGGCCACATTTTGAATGCCCAGAGCCAACTGTAGGCCACTTCGTGTTCTTCGTGTTCCCAGAAACCATTCCCAGGCCACATTTTGAATGCCCGGAGCCAACCGTAGGCCACTTCGTGTTCTTCGTCTTCCCAGAGCACCACTCCCAGGCCACATTTTGAATGCCCGGAGCCAACTGCAGGCCACGTCGTGTTCTTCGTGCTCTCAGAGCACCATTCCTGTACCATATTTTGATTGCCCAGAGCCAATTGTGGGGCACTTCGTGATCTTCGTGTTCCCAGAACACCAGTCCTGTGCCATATTTTGAATGCCCGAGCTGAGGCAGGCTGGGGCCGAGGCAGGCTGAGGCCGAGGCAGGCTGAGGCAGGCTGAGGCTGAGGCAGGCTGAGGCTGAGGCTGACGCAGGCTGACGCAGGCTGAGGCCGAGGCAGGCTGAGGCTGAGGCTGAGGCAGGCTGAGGCTGAGGCAGGCTGAGACTGAGGCTGAGGCAGGCTGAGGCTGAGGCTTCGGCTGAGGCTGATGCAGGCTGAGGCTGAGAGGCTGACGCTGAGGCTGAGGCAGGCTGAGGCTGAGGCTGAGGCCGAGGCAGGCTGAGGCTGAGGCTGAGGCAAGCCGAGGCAGGCTGAGGCTGAGACAGAAGCTGAGGCTGAGGCTGAGGCTGTGGCTGAGGCTGAGGCAGCTGCGAGGCTGAGGCTGAGGCTGATGGGCTGAGGAGGCTGAGGCTGAGGCAGGCAGGCTGAGGAGGCTGAGGCTGAGGCCGAGGCAGGCTGAGGCTGAGGCCGAGGCAAGCCGAGGCAGGCTGAGGCCGAGGCTGAGGCTGAGGCTGAGGATGAGGCTGAGGCTGAGGCAGGCTGAGGCTGAGGCTGGCTGAGGCTGAGGCCGAGGCAGGCTCAGGCCGAGACAGGCTGAGGCTGAGACTGAGGCTGAGGCTGAGGATGAGGCCGAGGCAGGCCGAAGCTGAGACAAGGTGAGGCTGAATGGGGGGGGGGGGGGGGGGGAGGGGGGGGAGGAGGGGAGGCTGAGGCAGGCTGAGGCCGAGGCAGGCTGAGGCCGAGGCAGGCTGAGGCTGAGGCTGAGGCAAGCCGAGGCAGGCTGAGGCTGAGGCTGAGGCTGAGGCTGAGGCAGGCTGAGGCTGAGGCTGACGCATGCTGAGGCCGAGGCAGGCTGAGGCTGAGGCTGAGGCAGGCTGAGGCTGAGGCCGAGGCAGGCTGAGGCTGAGGCTGAGGGAAGCCGAGGCAGGCTGAGGCTGAAACTGAGGCAGGCTGAGGAATCCTTAGGAATCCATAGGAATCCTTAGGAATCCCTAGGAATCCTTAGGAATCCGTAGGCATCCTTAGGAATCCGTAGGCATAGTTTAGCATCCTCAGGAATCCTTAGGAATCCTTAGTAGGAATCCCTAGGGATCCCTTAGGAATCAGGATTCCTAAGGATTCCTAAGGTTTCCTAAGAATTCCTATGGATTCCTAAGGATGCCTAAGGATGCCTTAGGAATCCCTCGGAATCCTTAGGATTCCATTGGATCCTAAGGCCGTTGCCACTGCGACTGTCATTGCGAATGCGACTGCGACTGCGAGCACAGCAGAATTCTACAACTGGATTCTCACCTGAATTTTAAGGGGAATGCTTCCAGATATGCTTATACACATCGCTGTTAGGTTGCTTTGCCGGGATAATGAACTGACAACAGTTTCACATATGGAGGGCGGGTCATTTTCAAAATGTGGCTCTCGCCTTCGCGCCGCGCGCATTCGCTTTCAAATCTTGCAAGAGTTACGGATTGATGGCGAGTTCTTTTCAACATGTGGCTCTCGCCTCAGCGCCGCGCACATTCGTTTTCAAAATTGGCAAGCTTCACGGATTGAGGGCGGGTCGTTTTCAAAATGTGGTTCTCGCCTCAGCGCCGCGCGCATTCGTTTTCAATGTGTTGCAAGAGTTTCACGGATTGGGGGCGGGTCGTTTTCAAAATGTGGCTCTCGCCGTAGCGCCGCGCACATTCTTTGTAAACGGTTGCAAGGGCTTCACGGATTGGGGGCGGGGCGTTTTCAAGATGTGGTTCTCGCTTCAGCGCCGCGCGCATTCGTTTTCAAAATTTGCAAGAGCTGCACGGATTTGAAGGCGGGTCGTTTTCAAAATGTGGTTCTCGCTTTCGCGCCGCGCACATTCGCTTTCAAAACGTGTAAGAGTTTAACGGATTGAGGGTCCTTTTCAAAATTTGGTTCTCGCCGTAGCGCGGCGCACATTATTTGTAAACGGTTGCAAGAGTTTCACGGATTGGGGGCGGGTCGTTTTCAAAATGTGGCTCTCGCCGTAGCGCCGCGCACATTTTTTGCAAACGGTTGCAAGGGCTTCACGGATTGGGGACGGGGCGTTTTCAAAATGTGGTTCTCGCTTCAGCGCCGCGCGCATTCGTTGTTTAAAATTGCAAGAGTTGCATGGATTGCAAGCGGGTCGTTTTCAAAATGTGGTTCTCGCTTTCGCGCCGCGCACATTCGTTTTCAACATTTGCAAGAGGTTCATTGATTCCCATGATCAACGTACCAAAAACAGTGTTTTAGACGATTCAAGATTATGCGGGTGCGACGGTTATGTTGAGTCGCGGTGTGGGATCAAAAAGCGGCGTTATGGCACGTTTCCGAATCGCCAGAGACCAGCAGTCAGGTGGATACGTGGCGTTGAAATCCCGAGAACAATGTTTTGGCATGCTTCAGGATCTTCAAACGGTTGTCTTCCAACAAGCCAGTTCCCTCAATGGAAATGAACCGTTGTAGGGGCCTGTGAAGAGGGAGCTCGGAGGTAGGGTTAATCCCAACATCGTTGATGACTCTTGGGTTTACACTGGTCTTCGGCCTCCTCCTCCTTCTCCTCCTCCTCCTCCTCGGGTCGCCTACGGCCCCGGGGGGAACCGTGCAGGTTTTAGGAGTCCAGGGGTTCATTTTTCATTTAGAGATGACACATAAAGAAACAAGTTAGGGAGTCCAGGAGCGGGAGCAGCCGAGCGAGAGTGTCCAACCCGGCGGGCTCCCCAGGTCCGGGTGCAGGGGCCGCCGATCCAATCGGCAGGCCACGGCAGTGTCCGCCGTGCCCGGCGCAGCCGGGCCAGGCTGTTGTCGAAGAAGTGGGCTCCGAGAAGCTCAGGCACAGGAGCGGCCAGAGCGGGCCGTGCGACCAAGCAAGCATCACCGACGCCCGGTCACGGGATTTGTCAGCAACGCGGCCGTCGAACCGTGCACATGTCGGTAGTCTGTAGTCCGAGCATGGCGTATGCTCGTAGCCCACGGGCGATCGAGGGAAGCTCTTGGCAGCAGAAGCATCGGAACGAGGCGGGAACGGTGGGGCATTTGGTCGAAAGAGACAGATCTCCGGCAGCCAGTCAGAAGACCAAGGTGAGTGTTTTTTATCCATTGTTTCGCCGATCGGCGCAGGCCCTCGCACCCCCCCCTGCCACCCCCATGGCGTAGATCTTAGCTGTTTTATAAGAAAACGCTCGCCAGTCAAAAGACCAAGACGGGCGTAGTCGTGAGCAGGGCGCGGGCAAACAACATCACCGGGCACACAACCTAACCAGGAACATTCGGGAACAGGGCCGACCGAAGGAGACTCTTGGCAGCCGGGCGCAGGTTTGAGCGGGGAGCCATCTCGGCGGCGGGCAGTAGGGGGGGTGCTGGGGGTGGTGTTCTTGGAGGCGATTCTGGGTTCTGAGAAGCCTTCCGAGCAGCCTCCAGGCCCTCCTACCAGAAGCCCCCCGCCTTCTTGGAACGCTGCCCCCTCTCTCGCCACCCCCAGCAGTGTGCGCGCCGCCGGGTTACACAGCCAGGCCACCTCCCGTGTGGCAGTGGTCATATTCAGCTCCAGGAGGGTCCCAGGGCGGTTTGGCGATGGGGACAGGCTTCCACCCCTCATGATTTCAGAAGGATCACCGAGCTTGCAGCACGAGCTACTTAACTGAAGTAATCACGTTGCTCATGGAGCCTGGGTGAAACATCCATAAGTATGTTTTCCAGCCGGCCGAGTTGCCACACCTTTTTTGTTGTTGGGCGGGCCAGAGTTTTTACAATGAGGCACCATGGGTTTATCGACGCCGAAATTTTAGGTCACTACTCTGCTACTGATCGGCATTTGGACATGTGTTCGTTTGTCAATGGCATCCCCGGGACGTATCCAGAAGCTGCGTGAATTTGCATCGGCGGTGTTTTTCTCATCGCTGGCATGCGGCGTATATTCTGCGCATCGGCGCGCACGAATTTGGTCGATCGAGCGCCTCTCGCGAGTGCTGGTCGAGTTCTTCGATGCAGTCGTCGCTATTGCTCTATAGTGTGAGGCGGTCGGCTGGATTTCGCGAGTTGTTTCATTGGCTCGTGAAGCGATATCATTGGTGCGCGGGTCCATGCCATATCCACTCGTTCATGTTTCTTGTCGCCAAATGAGAGAAGGGTAATGCCGCCCCAGGAGTATTCTCAGTGGCGCGTCGGCTACGACTACCAGAAGCCCGAAGCCGTGCTCACATCTGGAAAGACGAGCGTGCAGTGCCCCTTAGAAGTGGAGAAATGGTACCATTGGAGTGATGGACGCTGGGAAGAGGTATCTGACATGACTCTGATTGAGGGCGCCGCGTCTACGGCGTCGGAGTCGTCATCATCAATGCATTCTTACGACTATGTGGGGGATGGCGGGTGCCAGGACGATGCTGGCCGGCATATGGACTCCTATCGCATCGTGAGTGCGCATCTGACGCCTCATTTCTGCCAGTCGCATTGCGATGCTGATGCAGACTGTGTCGCGTACACAGCGGCTCCTGGTAATTGCACGGTGTGGGGGCCTGACGAGTCCGCCGTGATGGTCGGCTGGTATTTCCAAAAGGGTGACGGAGCGACCAACGTGACCCGAGGGCAAAGCACTTCTCACGACCGTGGTCAAATGACTGGCTTGTTCCACGTCGTTGAGACTGATGCCGAGGTCTTCTGCATGGTCAAGAGCACTCGCCTGACCGCGGCGAGCGTCGAGGGCGAGGGCGCCGGCTTCTGGGCGCCGGGCGGCGAAAGCTGCATCTCCGCCCCACTTCGTCTCCCCCAAGTGTGCCGACATGGGGGCAGCCTTCCAGGAGCCCTCGACATGCGCGTGGGATTCGCGAGCTTTTGCGCCACCCTTTCTGGCGGGGGGGCACCTCCTGGTAGCGCGCGGGGCAAGTGATGAAAGGCGTCGGGTGTATTCCTTCAGGTTTGTCTAGTTTTGTTCCCAGTCTCCTGCACTCGGCAGACGTGTTAAATCAGCATCTTGGGGGTAGAACTGCGGAATGCGGGATCGCCCGCGCGTGCTGCGGGACCTTGTGAGATTTTCCCAAAATCGTGCTTGCACTTAGGATTTCTTGCTTCTCTCATAAGCATTGCGGAGGACGATCAATGGAGAGGAAGCATGTTGCCATTTCCAGATGTCCGAAACATTTGTTAAATATATGTGCAACATGTAAAAAACATGTTTAAAACATGTTTAGAACATTTTCTCGACATCTTAAACACATTTAAAATTCAATGATAGGACTGTGAGGGTGTCCTTTGTCGTGGCATCCACGAAGCTTGCGCCGCGTCGCCCACCCGAGCCGATGCCCTTTGCTTTTTGGCGTCGTGGCCAGACTGACGCGCAGGTTTTGAGGGCATCCTTGCGTCCCTGGGCTGTTTTTGCCTTCTGGTCCCGGCGCCCATGCGGCAAGGGCGGGGGTGGGTGAGGGTGCCCTTGCGTCCGTGGGGTGTTGGCAGCATGCCGCCCAAAAAGTGCCAACTTCGGCGTCCAAGGCCCTCGCGTCCTTGCCGCCCATCCTTCGTATCGAATTCGACTACAGGACTGCAGGCCTGACACTTGAGGCTAGGCCTGAATCTAAAGACTTGTTCCACCATGGCTTCCCAGAACTGCCAAAAAGTTCTCGGAAGGGTACCCTCGGTGGCCGCATTATTGCGAAGGCCTTACGGCCGATGCCGCCGACCCTGAAGGGAGACAACGACGACGACGACGACGACGACGACAACGGCGGCGGCGACGGCGATGGCTCCGACGTGGGCCAGGGCTCTCAGGGATGCTTCTTGGTGTGGCCGCATTATTGCAGGCGTTGTGGCCCGCGGGAGGGCCCAGGCTCTGGAAGGAAGAGCTTTCTGCCCTCCCTCCGGCCGTGCACCGTCCCGTCCTCTGCGCCCCCGTGGAAAAGGAGTCCCTCCGGGCATTCCTCCTCACTGGGAGAGGCGCCCCCCTTTGGAAGCACGAGCGCCCCGTCGGCCTGCCATTCGCAGGAGCCCCACGCTTCGGAGAAGGATCTGGCCTCCCAGCTGTCCAGCTACGAGTTGCGTGCAAAGATGCAGATCAACAGATGCAGCGAGCATGCCGCGAAAGACCCGTGCTGAACAGGAGCCGCCTTCCATCCGCGCACGTTGCCACTTGCTGCAATGCTTCGAGACGCGTCTTACCACGTAACGAAATCTCGAACTGAAGCCCCGTGCTGGAAAGGAATCGCCCTCCATCCGTGCAAGTGCAGCGCACTCGTCGGCTTCTGGTCATACGATTGGAGGGGGTCGCAAGCGAGAGCCCCATTTCAGAAACCGATCGCCCTCCATCCGTGCAACGTCGGGAAACTCGTAGAAGGTTGTGCGCGGGGCCGTGGCGACAGGCCCATGTTGCAAAAAGGCCCGGCCGCCACCCACATGCTGTTTACGACACAAGCACGTATTGTTTCCCCGATGGTTGGTCCAAGACAGCGAGAGATTAGTGAGGCAGCCACTCACTGTGACCACGACGCGCGCACACACATACACACAGACACACATACGCACACACACACGCACACACACACACACTCTCTCTCCCTCTCTCTCTATCTCTCTCTCTCTCTCTCTCTCTCTCTTATACACGCACACACTATCTCTCTCTCCCGCACACACTCACACTCTCGGGGCCAAGGCGATAGCCTCCTTTTGAAACTGGGCCGAACCATTTGTGAAGTCCTGGGGACCGTTCACTGAGAATGCGCACGGCGCCAACTCGAGAGCCTCGTTTTGTAGACAGGCCGCCCTCCATGGCGAGGAAGTCGCAAGTGAAACGCATGGACTCCCCTACCGACACGTCTGGTGGTGCAGCGAGGTGGAGCTGTTTTTGTTCAAGGAAGAGAGATGGATGAGGAGCACGGGTAGGAGGAGGTGGAGGAGGAGGAGGTTGTTGAGGATACGAAACGAGGAGAAGGAGGCGGAAACTAAGAGAATATAAGAGAAGAGAAGATAAGAGAGATGACTGTTTACTATGTTGTATGTGAAGAGTAGATATCATAAGATAAGATAATAGAGGGAGGGATGATGATGAGGAGGAGGAGGAGACCCCTAGAGACCCTAAGTCAGAAGCCGCTTGATCTTACCAAGTCTTTGAATCCCCTTCCATCGTGGAGGAAGAGGGGGAGGATGAGGAGTAGGGAAATATGCGGGAATACGCGAACAAAGACGTCCAAGGCCCCGCTTGCACGATGGAGCCTTAAACGGCTCGCGAGGCGGCGGCGTGAGAGTTGCGGCCAACCCTACCCGAGAAAACCCTCAGGGGCAGACCAGCCAAAAACCAGGGGGCGACCCAGACAGGCGCCCCCAGAGGCCACAGCAATCCTCCCCGGGTACAGTCGGACCGAGGTGTAAGGTCGAGGTCGGTTCGGGAAGTGTACCTTCATGTTTGTCGTGATTGTTGGATGTTCTTGCGCATCCAGGGGGAGGGCACCCTCGAATGTTCTCTGTGTGCTCCGGCCGACGCAGGGTCGCATGTTCTTGAGGGATGTTCTTCTGTCCAGGGTCCGACTGTAGAGCAGCCATGGCCGGAAGCCCCAGGCCGCGCTCCCTGCACCACGCCGCGCCGCGCCCTCGGTGCAGGCGGCGGGTGCCGCGCCACCCGCCGCCCAACAGAGTGATCGTGCGGGCACGCGTCGCAGGCCCGAGGGGGCCTGCGCCGGGCGCCAGAGCGCTGGCTCCGCGCCAGTTGGGGGGCCCCTGCCGCCCATCTCCTTGGCAGGGGCCTCGCGTGGGCCCCTCGTCCTCGTCCCCCTCCTCCCCTTCCTCCCCCATCCCCCTCTTCATTCTCCTCCTCATTCTCCTCCTCCTCCTCCGCCGCCGCCGCCTCCGCCGCCGCCTCCGCCTCCGCCTCCTCCTCCTCCTTCTCCTCCGCCTCCTCCTCCTCCTCCTCATCCTCCTCCTCCCTTCCCCCCCCCGTCCGTAGCCATTTTGGCTCAAGATGTCCGATTCCCTCGGGGTCCGAGTGGAGACCTCTGACCCGAGGCTAGCATCCACCAGTTTGCAGCTCCAGGGACGCGCACCCCCCTGGAGTGAAGAGTGCCCTCCCGCAGAGGCGTGCGGCTGCGCGAGTCCCACCACCCGAGTCTGGCATTGGGGTCCAGAGTCACGATGGCGGGCAACGGTGCAGGAACGCTGCTGCTTGGGCCCAAGAGGCCGCATTGGGGATGCTCCCGCTGCGGCACGGCCAACAATTGGGCATGTCGCCTTCAGTGCCGCTGTGGAGCGAGGGCGCCGCAGCGCATCATCTCGAAGGCCCGCCAAGAGGATAAGAAAGCCAAAGCTGATGTCAATCCGAAGGGGCAGCCTCCTTCGCGTGGCGGAGGCAGCGGCGGTGGCAGGCTCGACTCACCCCAGTTGGCGCCGTGGGCTACGTCGAAGCTTGAGAAGGAGCTGGTCGCGCTGCGCAAGCAGGTCCAGCAGCTCAAGTCCGAGAAGAACAAGGCGCCCGCCCCGCACGAGGCGGCCCCCAATGGCACGTCCGAGGCAGCCATGGATGTTGATGACGGCAATGTGGGAGCCAAAGACACGACAGCGACGGCTTCTCAGCGGAATGCTCTCCAGGTCAAGATTGGCCACTATGAGCAGTTCGTCAAGTCCATCGCCCTCTACGAAGACAGTGAAGGTGAGCAGCTACTGGCAGCAAAGAAGCAGCTGGAGGCACTTCGAGTACAGCTTCGCGAGCTGCGTCCGCCGTCGACGGCGCACAAAGTCGCCACGCAGAAGCTCGAGCGCTGCCGTGCCCAGCTTGACCGTTTCCGCACAGAAGCTGCTGACTGCCGTGAAAGGATCGCAAAGTTGCAAGAGGAGCTGGACATCAAGGAGGCAGGCATCGTTCAGAAGGAGGCCGAAATTGTCCAGCTCACTGTCGAGGTGCGCAACTGTGCTGAGGCGCTGTCGAAGTAGCGCGGCGAGCCCACTTCTGCGGCGGCCCCGTCTCAGCCAGCACCAGTGCTCTCGCCCGACTTCCTGCAGGTTGAGATGCTTGAGCTCGACGCACAGCCCGAGCCCAACACCTTCTACCAGCAGTTCACGACCGACCCGCGTTTCAACTCCCTCCAGCACGTGCTTGCTAAGCACGTCAAGGTCAGCATGGCGCCGCCGCAGCAGGCTCAGTTTCAGCCTGCTGGCGGTGCTTGCGATGATGACGATGAGTTGGACCACAAGCCTGATGCTGCCAAGCGAGGCGCTGAGCCCCCGCTCGGTATGCGCGATATTCGACAGATGTACGAGGAGCTCAAGAAGGCAGGCGTGTCCAACGGTGAGTCCGAGGAGCAGCTGGTCGCCCGCCTGCGCGAGCTCGTCGGAGAGATGCACAAGGCAAAACGAGGGCGCACTATCCCGAGTGCTCCTGACACCAGGGGGTGTGCTTAACCGCCAGCCCCGCGTGAGCGGGTTGCGACCGCGACGAGGCGAGCTCCCGCGTGTTGATGCGCCGCCCAGCTCGCAGCAGTCGCACTTGCTCGAGACTTTCAATGCCAATCAGGGTAAGCCTACTCTGAAGCGGCGGCTTGAAAGGACGCCGGCGTTGGCGGTACTCGTTCAGGAGACTGGATATCATGAACGCGAAGTTGAAGAGGTACAATCCTGGGCTGGCGCTCGCGGCTGGCAAGTGATTGCGCTTGCAGGCAGCCCGGCTGAAGGCCACCTGCCGTCGGCTGGAGTGGTGGCGTTCGCCCGCAATGCGGTCGGCCTGCGGTGGCCTGACGGCCGCGGCTCTTC